GTTAGGCTTACTGAAAAGTTAAATCTATTTTATTAATCTTTACCTTTACTTATTATAAATAAAATCGAAATATCTTTATGGAATATCGAAATAACTGCTTTATATTCAGCTGAAGGGTTATTTACCTACACGCCATTAAGGGTCGAATATCCATTTCATTAGTCTGTCTCTGGGTGTCTCCTAACTTTAAAAAATAATTTTATTAATAGGAAGTAAAATTCAACTTCAAAAAAGCAAAAAAATTAAATGATATTTTATAAGATAGAGAGACGAACTTTCGGTCCACCTGAGTGGCCCATAGACATCTACATCTATGCTTGATTTAAGAATCAAAATGCAGATGCGTTGTCACCCCTGAGGACTAAGATGGAATGCCTCGTTTCTAGTAAAAAATGTCTGGTTCGCTTTTTTATATGATAAAGGTGACAAACGAGTCTACCTGAAGGTAAGTGGATGCTGTGGTCCACAGATATCTACATTTAACCTCAATCAAGAATCAAAATGCAGATGCGTTGTCATCCGTGCGTACTAATATGGAATGTCTCGTTTCTAGTGAAAGGGTCTCCGGTTCTCTACACTCACCACACGAAATACAGCAGCGTTAAGGTACTATTTTACGCTGGTATTCTGTGAGAGCGTGGTCCTTCCCCGGTCGAGCCAATTCATTCGTGTTACAACTGTACTACTAATATAACTGCAGTATGGTTCTACCACGTATAGAGATATACATACGATGCAGAGATATGTAAGTATAATAATAAAAGATTTAAAACTACGACTCCAGAATGTAAATGTAAAATACTTCATTCTTTTTCTACTGTCCTATCTGTTCCTTGAAGTCAGATTTGACATTTTGACTTGGGGTGTAAGCTGGCGAACGCGAGACGAAAACGTTACGAAAAGTGTGATCGGGCAATGCGAACGGGAGTTGAGTGGTGGATATAAGCAAGAGGGAGAAGCAACATTTTCTTTCTCTCTTTCTCTCATAGCCTTAGCTCATAGCATTTTTCGTAATTTTATTTCGTTTTGAACAATTTTACGAAATAATATTTTGTTCAATACATTAAATAATCTACGTTTAAAGTGAACAAAATTTGTAAAGTCATTTTAAAGTTCATGTTTTGTGAAGTTTTGGGTAAATAATAACAAATTATGGAAGGAAGCCGCTAATAAATTTAAACATTTGTAGAAAATTTATATATGTCTATACATGTATTAAATATACATATATGCATATATAAACACATATATACTCGTACATACAATGAGAAAGAAGAAGTTTTACTTCAGTTGTGTCATAAGTACACTCGATTTCATGTTTTTTTTACCCTTATGAGAGAACTAAGGAACTTACTTGGTCATTCTTAGAAGTGAAAATATTGCTGAAATTGATATGGAACTATACCTCTGATCTATAATGTATTTGATGAATAAAGAATCATCAGGATCGGTTCACAGTTGACGAAGTTATCCCGTAACATACCTATAGTACATATAAAAACAGACATGTATAAAACGCAAGCTCCCTCCTTATTAGTAAAAAAACAACAGATAGAATACTGACGAATCACGGTCGAATTAGACCACTGAGCGATTTTGAGTAAATATGAATTCGAGTAAATGTAAATTAAAAACCGTGATAGTAAGAAAAACAGTGTAAGAGTAATTACCATCCCATATCACCCCTTGGATTCTGTAAGAGGCGTTAGAGGGGAACAAGCTAGGTGATTGACAGCAGAGTATTTTTAATAAGGATTAAAAATAAAAAGAACAGCGGTTGACGACCCGTTTGCCATGCGTGGCAACTCTGGCAGCTGGCCCCCCCCCCCCATGAGGCAATGTTCAGTACTAGACTTTCGTTGGCTGTAACGGTAAAAACTCCTCACATTTCCTTAACTACAATAAATATTTAACATTTACCGATTCTTCGATCTATCTGTATCGTAACCTACTTTGACTAATGCTTAGTGGCATATTGGTACATACATAATGAGTGAACGCTGTAACCCATAGATATCTACATTTACCCAACCTGTTTTATTCTTTATTTGATAGAACATCTATGCACGTTGTTAATTTTACATATTAGATTTAGTATAGCTTTAAGGTCCACTTTTTATTATCCCTTTTTTAATTATTAAGTAGTTATTTTGATCACGTATCGATCGCCGATGTAATTTTCTTTCCTGTTTTTCAATTTCTGATACGAAAATGTAGTTCTTTGCATTTTGTCCATTTCAAATGCCAAAAAGGGATAACATTTTCTCTTTCCATTGGCCCCATGCTGACGGGGAGATATATACAACACGTAACATAATTAACGCACTTTGAGAAAGTAGTTTGTTCAGAATCGTTTACTGAATCGATTCCTATCAATTTTAATATATGTAATTTTTTTATCCCAAATATAATTAGAACTACGTAAATTACAGTCACACTAAATCTGTACAGTCAAAACAAACTGAAATGGATCGTAACTTAAGGCACTAAGACTTTTAAGAGAGCAGTTTTATTTGTATTATTACTAATTCTGTCATTCAATAAAAATAAAGAAAAATGAACTTTATTTCAAGCACTTTAAAGTCTTTGCTTTCGTGGATTTGTACTGTGACCTCAACATTCTTCCGGAATTAGTATAACTAATTTGATAAATAATCAGTGCATAAAAATGTTTAACTAAAAATTCAGTGTATGTATTATGATTATAACATAATATACTAATTGGGGTGTCTGAGGGTGTGCGTTAATTACGTTACATATTGTATATCTACTCGTTATGTCAAATGGGGATATACTATAGCAATAAGATAATTTTATCTCTTGTCGGTGGATATAATCGGGAGACATAATTTTTGTCTCCCGCCCATGCTCGCAGGGTGGATAAAACTGAGCAAGAGATAAAAATTTTATCCTCTCCCCGTGGATATATTGTCTTTTGCCGATGCTAGCCCGGCTGCAGCGATAAAACTGGATATATTAAAAACTAACGGGTGATTGCCAGGACCGGGTCCAAATTGTGATGAATATAAACCATCTGGGGGCCTAATCAAACAGACACAAAAATAACATCAAAATCGGTTGGATGGGGTCAAAGTCTCTAACAGACATGGGTAGAAACATTTTTTTATATTTTATATAGATAGATAAAGACAGACCCCCTGTGCGCTGTTGTTGGACCGTTGGACGTATATCGGCTGTAGCTTTTATTTTACTTTTTACATAAATTACTTCCACTATTAGAAAGAATTAAAGCCTAGCCCCGTCTACTGCTGGCAAAGACCAATTACATTCACTACAAAAAAAAAAATGCAATCAACTTCATTTGCATCAAGAGTCTATCTTTTTAAAAGTGGGCTAAGACATTTATTTATTTTTAAACATGAAATCTTTCAGCTTGAATAATATTTTAATGTTTATTACAATAAAAACAGATATTAATCGATTATAAAAATGATGGATGTACACACCATTGACAAAATATAATAGACCTTGGTGATCGGTCTTGAAAGAAATTACCTGCAAAAGCAATGCCGAACTACGAATTGGACAAATCAGTTTTCAATATTGCATAAAACTGGGCGCTTTCTACCTAAGTATCATGCTATTTATAATTTTTATACTATACGTAGACAAATGACATCAAAAAAAGTAGTTAGTTTAGATTAAAAGTATGTACTAACGGTAGTTTCTCATTGGTAATTTTAATTTAATTACCTTTTAATAGTGTCTATTTATTGTTGCTAAATCAACGCAACTTTTTTTACCCGACTGCCAAGGAAGGGTTATGTTTTTCGAGCGATCTTGCATGTTTGTAAATTGCTTTATTACTTCGTATCTTTCAAACGGTTGGGTGAATTTCCACAATTAAGGTATCGTTTTGTTCGTATTAATAACCCAAGTGTTCTTTGATGTTTATTTTAAATAACCAAAATAACAAAAAGCAGAGTTTTGGCGCAAAATAATATACGTTAATAAAAAAAATACCAAACCTATCGAATATCGAATATAAGTTGTATGGTTAAATTTAATTAGGAATAATAAATTGGTTTATAAAGTTTTTGATGACAGGTTTATAAAATGTGCAATGTTTGTATCGGACCTCGGGCTTTTATATGAAAAAAAGAATAGTTGTTAATATCCGTTGCCCAATCACGTTTAAAACGAAAAACACTTTATAGTTTTGAAGAAAAATGTAATAAATAAACACCGTTTACTTCTGGAAATATACCACGACCTTTCCAAAGTCGCATAGTCATTGAAAAATCGTCGAAAACCTTTACACAATAGACTGAGGCACTAAAAAGGTTTAAATAAAATAAATAATTATAAAAATAAAAAAAACCCGACTGCAAAAAATACAATTTAAAAGTAATGCACTTAAAAGTTCGAAACAAGATTGATTGAATAAAACAAAATAAAAAAAATATATAAGCAAAGTACCTAAACTATACAGACTATATTACGAGCTGAAAGCCTATGTCGCATACCACCTTTAAATAAATTTAAATGTTAATATTGTATAATAAAAATTAAATAAATTTTATCCATAAAATCACATATTCAAAATTCTAAATTAATAAATTCATATAAATTATAAATATTTTGTATAAATTCAGCAGCTAAAACAATGTCAAATTTAATTATTAAATACTAAAGAAATTGTACTTATCAACTTTAGCGTATGAATCGTTCAATTATTGTTAGTAAGTACTTGTGCCTGCTTCACCCGTCAAGTTCGTTAGATTACGTTAGTAATGAGATACATTCACTGCAGCGACACGCGCCACGCTCTCCCTAGTTAATCCGCGAAATATTGTAATTGCAAAGTAGTACATTATAGTTATTCGCGTTCCTTTATGTTTGATTTATATTGAATTGATAGTGTTGTGTGAGTAATTAAACTTGTGTGTATAAAATAAACTTGTGTGTAGGAATTAGCTATTAAAGAATTTGCAAATTATACGAGACTTTGCCTATGTGTGTTATGTGATTTAACTGGTATGCACTGTTTCATTGGAGTCAGAATAATATTAATCTGTAAGTACAACAACAACTTAAAGTTATACTTATGTAAAATAGCCTAAGTAAAATATTAAGTATAGTAGCAGGAGGGACCCAAACAAAAATTATAAACCGAAAGAAAATGAATGGGTTCCGGTAAGTAGTTTACTTGGTTTATAGTATTTTTTTTTTAATTTCGTTTTCTTTACTCAATCTTGTTTCGGATTTTTAGTGCATTACTTTTAAATTCTCTTTTTTGCAGTCGAGTTTTTAATTTTATAATTATTTATATTATTAATTATGTATATGGTGCCTTCTGTAGGAAATGGAATACTTATATAAAATAATTATCATGTCATTCCATATGTATATAACAGGGTACACATTGTTGTGAAATACGAATAAAAAAAAATTGAATATTCATTGGCCGGTACAATAATTACATGGTGTAAAACATACCTATTATACTATGTGAAATAGCATCATTAAAGTTATACATGTATTTATGTTGGATAATATGGTGAGTGTAGAGTACAGGAGACCCTTTTTATGGTAAAGACGCATTCCGTCTTAATCAACAGGGGTCACAAGGGGCCTCTGCACTTTCATTCTTAATCGATGATGGATGAAGATATTTATATAAATAAAATTAAAACAAACTCAGATATAACATTGCAAGACATCAAAGTATAAATAAGTTTAGATCTTGAGCAATTCTGAGTAATACAGATACGCTTAGATCTTCTGTGATTCTGCGTAGATCGGACCAAAATTAATGATTAAAAGCTGAAAGAACACCGGGTTAATTATGATCTGGATGTGATGTCAATCATCTTAGCCCCCTCCCCATCCCGACCATTTGTGTTGCAATATATGTGCATCGGGATTTAAAATAGTTGACTGAGAAAATTCCGTCAAATTAGTTTTATTTAATCTAGGTATCATTTATTTATTTACAACGAGTTCATACTAAAATTTACGGCTTAAGCAGGTCGGTATTCAATTTTGCGGTCCCTTATATAGCCTAATAGCGATCTGCCCCTGCTTCACAATCGCACGGGTGATATCTGATGATTCTACAACAGCGCCACCTACCGGGTCCAACTATGCATATAACCTTCGCGGAAGTGCAAGCAATATGTTAACGAATGGCAGCGCATAAAATACGAACAAACAAAAGTTAATTTTTGTATAACAGATTGCGGACGTGGCGCGGCGAGGACGTGAACTCGTAGACTTACGTGCAATATATATAGGCTGCCATATTTTTTATGCTAGAAAATTATCAGTTAGAGTGATTGCGAAGATAAGAGACCGATTGTGAAGCGAACCGACCCTCGTGCTATCGTCACGCGCAAATGTGTAACAACTATAAACAATAATATAATTTCATTTATTTTTACCCTACTAGCGACCCGTCCTGACTTTGTCTTATCGTCGTCCTGATTTTAATGTGGTCATGATAATCAAAGACCATTTGTTACGTCTATGTTTATCTAATTGTCAAGATTTTGGTATAAAATACAGCATCACTTTTGGTATCTGTGATAACTTTCTTTACAATTAGTTCAAGCGTTCTAGATCAACTGACAGACTAAAATTTAAAAAAAATGTTTCATGTTAATCTAGGCATCATTTATTTATCTTAATAGCATGCAAGTAACTTCCTAAGCACAATAATAGACAGTTTTTTGATAATATAGACAAATATTTCAATTTTATGTATGTCTAGATTACATAATTTTAATATGAAAAGGTACTCCAGGCCGAATTTCGGTCACGGCGTCAGTCTTATCAAAGACTAGTCGTCAGCGCGGGACAGGACTATAGCACCCATAAGTCTCGCAAGTCCGATGGAACGGTAATATGGTAACTCTTTATCAACCGCCCACAGTCCTCTACTGGGAATAGGTCTCTCCACGACGAACGACGAAATGGTTTTGTGCTTTCCCTTACACTGCGACCACAAGATCATCATATTGAACAATTCATTCATTATACTGCATGACCTTTTTTATCGTCTGGAAAAAAATAGGGTGTAACAAGTAAACAGAGTAGAAGGCTATGGCACTGTTATATTACAAAAAAATAAAAACAAAAATATTCAATGAAATAATTAAAATCTGTTTCATATTCACCCTAGCCTGTCACTCTGCGAATTGACAAGGTCAAAGATGCCTTAGTTAGTAGGCATTTATTATTCCGTTCGTAAAGTAGAGTGGATATGATTCGAATTTCGATAGATTTTAATTAATTAATTTATTTAATTCAAAATTTTTATTTTTATAAAGCGTCAGTGCCATAAGTTTCTACCCCGTTCTCATGCTACACTGTATTTTCCAGACGGTAAAAAGGTCATCCAGTACATATATCAGCTAGTCTATTTATAGATATATCGGCAAAATTTAGTCCAGTCACAAAATGGAAATAATAACCATTCCATTTATATCTAGAATACAAAGACTGAAAACAATAGACGACTGAGGAGTGAAACATTTAGAACATCGATTGCAAATACACTTGAAAGTGAAAGATAGAGAATTAGAACGAAGAAGATAGAGATTAAGACGCTACTCATGGCGATAGACGTTGAGCGTTCGGTCCTATACAATCCACGCGCTCTCGCTACAATATATCGCTTAAGAAATACGCCCAGATTATTGGAGTTATCCCAATTAAAAAAGAAAAGCGAACTTTAGAAATTAAATAAAACGTGAATAATATAGATTTTTCAATTATCGATCCATTAGTGTAATGCTCAAATGATTAGAGTGTTGCGTTTAGCAACAGATGCATGTAATTAATAATTTTAGACATTTTTTAAAAATTGATTTTAAATAAATTTATAATACCTAAAAACAAACTACAAAGTGGAATATGGTGAAAGGATATCGAATATTAATAATGTGCTTTTAGATGTAATTTATTTATCATAACTAATGAGATAATAGTCACTGAAAAACGCACTATCGCAAGGTTTTGGCCGGGGCAAAGGGCGTAGGTATGTTCTACTAGCGCCTAAAAATCAAGAATCCGACGTTTTGTCGCATGAAATCATATTATCCAACAATCATATAAAACATACGAGTATATATGATATAAAAAACATATTGTCAGAAAGATGAATGATTGTTGAACTTATAATTATTTATAATCGATTAATTGCTATTATTACATTAAAAAAACTGGTTTTAGTGGCTCATGGCGTAGATTTATCAAGTCCGCATGGAAGGGTAAACACGATAACTTTTAAAAATATCAATTGTTTAACTCAATCTCATCATCTATCTTGTGGGAATGTGAATAGCGGTTTAATTTTATTTTGTTTAGTTATAATTAAATTTTTTCGGTTAAAAAAATTTTCGGTGTTTTATTATGAGTCGTGCACTTTTGAATTTTTCCAAATTTTTTTGTTATTTACGTTTGACATAAAATAATCGTTTAATTAGAAGTATAGTAATAAGGTTATTGGTGAAAACTTGTCTTTATTCAAAATACTTTAAAAAATTTACGTATAACATGAGCGCTTAAGGCATGCACAGTTGAATTCAACGAAAGTTTTTAATTTCTTAATTTTTCAAAATAAAACTCTCAAAATTTAATTACAATAGGTTCAGTCACTCTAGACTTTCTCGGGCATACAAACTTCAATGGTATTTATGTTTAGATATAACATTAATAATACTAAAACATCACGATGATGATCCTAAAGAGAGCAGTTGTCATGAAATTATTGTATTGTCATTAGTCCTTTACCTTCAAAATGTCAGATTATTCAGATATCAGAAAATGTGTGAAAAATAAATTACAAAATTCCATTCAACTCATACACATACATACATAAGTACGGAACGAACTTAATTAATTTTTAATAATTTATTTTCGTGGTAGAGCCATGCTGCAGCCATGTTGTAGCACAAATGGGTCGGCTCGACCGGGGAACGACCACGCTCTCACAGTACACCGGCGTTACATAGCAGTTCAACGCTGCTGTATTACATATGGTAGGTATAGAAAACCATCTTATGAACAACCCATTTTACTGGAAACGTGGTATTCCATCTTAATCCTCACGGTAATAGGTTCTGCATTTTGATCAAGGATAGATAGATCGTCTATAGGCCACAGTAACCGTTTACCATCTGATAGACTATGTGCTCGTTTATCAACATTATCATATAAAATATCGTAATAAATTAGATAGATAGTCTCAGGTGAAAATAAAAGAGGTGACATTTGGTGAGAATCAAACTTCTTGGTTATTTTATTGTTGGTAACCATTGACTTATAAATTACTTCTTTTTGAAATCATTGTTGGTAACGCATTTTTGTATTATTCTAAAAGATGACAGTCCCCTATCACATGTTAACGTTTTTCAGAAACATATAAATCGTTAACATACTTCGTTGGACGTTTATATTCGCGAAATGGTCCATGAGTCAGGTCGTGGAGTAGGATTTTTGCGATAAGCCTTCCCGAAATAGAACAATGTCCTGTGCCTAATTATCAGATCCTTCATGCAAATTAATCTTTGGAAAATAAGTGTGGTTCACTCTGAAACATATTCGATCCCGACTTTTTGAATACATTTGTTTGATTCGCAAGCAACGTTTCAGTTTTGTGTTAAATGTACAAGTTTTCAATTTAAAATTTCGCCAACGCTTCTTCAAATAACTCGGGTAAATATATAAATGATCGACTCGTATTCTTAACTGAAGGCGGTTGATCTTTTGTAATATGTTTTTAATTCACTTATTCAATAGAGTGTAATGAAAAGCGTGGTACAGCCCCGCTCCAGGTGTACTATAATTGTAGCACAAATGGGTCGGCTCACCCGGGGTTGGATCACGCTCTCACAGAATATTGGCGTAAAATAACAGCTTAAGTATGCTGAGTAAGCTTTCGTATGATGAGTGTAGAGAATCGGAAACCTTTTTTAATGGAAATGAGGCATTCTATCTTAGTTCTCAGGGGTGACAATGCATCCGCATTTTGATTCTTGATTGAGGATAAATACGGATATATATTAATTACT